GCCAGCCAAGGCTACTCTGCCCTGGCCCAACATGCTGTGGTTCCACTGCGCCCAGGAGCAATAAACTCCTGGCAAACTGTGCCAGACTTTATTGCTACATGTTAATTGCATGTGTAGATGCACCCACTGATAAATATATTTATGATGCTCTCAGGGTACAACTTTAAAATAGTCTAACAGTACTATAAACACAAAGACTGTAACTCCCAGCTGGAAACGCAAAGGTCTTGCAGTAACATGGCTGACTTCCTCAACTTAGAAATTTCCCTGATGTTCATTTTGAGTGGGAGTGAACTTAATTTTCCATTTTACCATATATTTACTTATTTCTTGAACTTCTTGTAGCTGACTTCATGTTTTTCCATTAACCATGATCCCTGTTTATCTATGGGTAACTCTTAAATGGTCTTTTGTAGAGGTGCACCGATACATCAGTCCGATATCAGATTGGCACCGCTATAAAGAAAACTGGCTGTATCTGAAATCGGCCTGATGCAGCCAATAGTTTGGCTGATAAATTCTCGTGCATGTGCGCAACTGCAGCGCAGTACTCAGGCAGTGAGGAGCACAGTCCGGTAGCGTGGAGAGCTGCGTGCAGCTGGTAAGTCTGTTGTGGTGGAAGTGGGGAGGGAAGGGGCATGGTGGGGGAGCAGATCAATGCCCCCCGTGGTGAGGGAGAGGGCAGGGACGGGTGCTGCGCAGCTGAGGCAGGGCGGGCGCAGGACAGAGCCATGGCTTGTGGGGGAGGGATAGCTCCCACCACTGTGTGCACCCCGGGAAGGCATTGGGGGGGGGAGGGGGGCATGTGCCCCTGGATCTGAGCGGAATGGGGCGAGCAGGCTGCAGCTGCAGGCTGGAACCAGGGCTGCACCGGGCTCTTCTCAGCAGGGGTGGGCTTGGGGCAGGGGCTACAAAGGGGACTGCAGCTATCCCAGACTTTGCTGTAGCCCCGCTCCCAGTGCCACCGCCACCACCTGCCCGCCCCCTGCAGCCCCAGCTCAACACCCTGCCTCCACCCACACGCCGGGAAGAGCCAGGGCTGCTCTGGGTGCACAGCGACACTGGGAGCAGGACTACAGCGAAATCTGGGGTGGCTGCAGCCCCCTCCATAGGCCCCACCCCGAGCCCAGCCCCTGCCGAGAAAAGCCTAGCGCAGCCCCGGTTCCAGCCTGCAGCTACAACCCACCCGCACCGCGCAGATCTGGTGGCACACACCTGCCCCCCAGACCCTCCCAGGGTGCAAGCAGCAGTGGGAGCTGCTCCCTCCTGCAACAAACCGCAGCTCTGTCCCATGCCCCACCCCATCTCACCCCGCCCCAGCTGGGAAGCACCTGCCCCTGCCCCTCCCTCACCGTGGGGGGCACTGATCTGTTCCACCCCCATGCCCCTTCCCTCCCCCTCCCCTTCCACTAAAATGGACTTACCAGCTGTATGCAACTGTACTGGAAATTGGATTGGTATCAGCCAATATGCTGCCTTAAAAATTGGCTATTGGTTTTGGCCCCCAAAATCTCTATTAGTGCACCCCTAATCTTTGTCCTTGAGATGCCAAAGTGTTTCCTGTTCAAAAAAATATAACAGACCCCCACTAATCTACATTAATGACTGAGGACCATTCCCAAATTATTAAAGTTTGGTACTTAGTAGTAATACAAAGCCCGCCAAGTATGAACTACCAAGCATACTTAATTAATTTTGTTTGAAGTTTATACTGAATGATTTCTGAATACTTAAACACTTCTGAATAAATGTTCTAGACTTATTAAAAATCTTATCAATGGGGCAGCAGCCCAGCCCAACTTTTTGGTTCTTCAAGAGGTGAGGAGACAGTTTTTGTGCAGATTATGATACTTAGTGAAGTTGTACTACAAATGTAAGACTGGAATAAATTAGAACTGTATTCCTCATTCTACGAAATACAGACTTAATGTGAAAACTTGAAACCAAATCTTCAGCTCATTATTCCCACTATTTCCAATCTTAATCAGTTATGGATATTTACAACCTACCAGTTAGATTAGCGTTACCAATATAATTAATGGTAACAGCACTTTCAATCCACGCGCAGTTCCCACGCATTTTTTTAACAACTGCTAATCTGAGATTAAAATAAAGTCAAATGTCTTCCCATTTCAAAATGTAATTGCCTTTTCAGACACAGAACATACAAATACATTAATCCATCAGCTGGTAAATAAAGCATTTAGATAATGTTTTTGCACCCCACTCAAAACCAGGCTTTGCAAATTCTGATTTGGTATAGCCATTCAGCCAGAAATTGGATGGCTGGCTAAATTTAAAAAGATTGCTAATTTATTTATATGTGAGTAAAAAAACAGTGTCTTTATGCATGTACAAAGTTATAATCTGTTTAAGGAAACAGTAAGTATTATAGCAGGGGTGGGCAAAATACGGCCCCTGTGAAAGGGCTTTGTCCGGCCTGCAGCAGGTCCCTTGGTCCTGCCTGGCCCAGAAGCTACCCAGCCATGGTGGGTCCTGCAGCCCCCTGTGCATGCAGCAGGGTTGGGATGGCTCCGCAGCTGGACTGCCTTTCTAGGCAGCCCAGGCAGCCGTGGCTCCTTCCAGCTGCCACTGCCACTGGCCCCAGCCCCACAATACCAACGGGGACCTGTGTGCGCAGTACCGACCCATTGTGCCCTGCGCCTGCTCTGAACTCACCTGTCCAGACTCAGCAGCTGCAGCAGCAGTGGCTGTAGGTCAGAAACTGTTGCTCAGTGTGGGGGAAATATGGCCCCTCCCCCTTGCCACTGCTAGGCAGTTCTTGGTGCAGCCACCCAGAGCCCATGCTGCCCTGTGGCTCCACCAATGTCACCGCGGCCAGGGTGCACTGCAGCTGCTCTGCACTGTCACTGCTGCTGCACTGGGCAGCCCAGAAGCAGCAGTGATGATGGCAAAGGCACAGGGCAGCCCAGGCAGCAGTGATGGTGGCAGAGCCACAAGGCAGCCTGGCACAGCACAGCCTCCGGGCAGCTGCATCAGGAACTCCCCAGCAGCAGTGAGGGGCAGGGGATGTCCCCTGTCCGCCCATACCATGGAGCTGGGGCCAGTGGTGGCAGCTGCCAGAAGAAACCACCCCAACCCAGCTGCGTGCCAGGGGACAGCAGGACACGCCGCTGATACACGTGACAAACACACACCCCATACCCTTAAACCCTCCCCCAAAAATCCCACAACCACATCCTCCTCCACACACAATCACACACCCCACAAACACTGCACCCACCCACACCCTCCCTCAAACCCCCACACAAACCCCACCCCCCCACATACCCAAGTGCCTCTGGGGGGAGCTCCACTCTCTGGTACACGTACACACCCCACCACACACATGCACACAGGTCCCTTCTGACCCTACCAACTATGAAACTATGGTAAATGTCACACCAGAAAAGCACTATTAATTATTTCAAGGGTTTATTAACAACCAAATGGTTTTACAGATGGAATCCATTTCACTAACTCAATATTACCTGGAACAAAGTGGTTTCCTAATTACCTAAAGTCATGGAACCCTTTCATATTACTACTTCTGCTGTGGAAATCTGACCCTGCAGGCTGTGAGAGGTGATGTGGAGCCAAGCAACCTGGCCTGTCAATGATGGTGCACAGCCTCCTGGCCCATTCTGCCATTACCCTCAATATCTTTGGGGAAATCCTTATGACCTGTTGCAGAACCCCAGGGTATCATGGAACACAATTTGAAAACCACTGACCTAGATGAAACATGTAACCTCCCTCCATTCCCTACCCCATCTTGGATCCCCAGAGGCTAAGTATGGTGACTGTGCAGGGGCTCCATCATGCCCCTCTTCCTCTGGTCTCCAAGGTCATGGCTTTTTAATCTAAGTGCTTTCTACCTCCCATTTGAGATTCTCTCTTCATTTTAGAATAATACTGACTGATAGTTCCCCACTCTTCCTTAGCACTTCTCATCAGTAGATCTCTCAGCGCTTTACCCAGGAGGCCAATATCATTGGCTCCATTTTAAAGATGGGGGCCACTGGGGGACATTCTGGTAAGATGCTGGCTCAAAAGCAATAAGGCCAGGCATTGTGGGCATTTTACATGTGCTCTGGGACACGGCACTAGGCGCTTTAATTACTAAGCTGCACTAATTAAAAGCACCCATGTATCATGTGTATCTGCATCCCTGTGCATCCCCAAACTGAAACAATGGCGGCAGGGCGTTTTGAACTAAAGCTCATTGAACGTGTTTTATTTCAAAGCACCCCACTGCTATTTTTCAGCGTGGACACACACATGGACACTGATACATGTAACATGGAAGGCTGCCGGAGCACATCAATTTCCATGCTCCAGCCCGGAGTGTGTCAATTTCCATGCCCCAGCAGACTTGATTAATCGAGTCTATTCCAATGCGCTGGATTTCCAGCATGTCAGAGCAGGCTCCACACACGTCTATTGGAACCCTGTGAATCCAGCTCAGTTCCTATTAGGAAACACTGCCCTAACAAACATTAAGAATCAAGTAATATCCTGGGCTGATAGATAAGTCTTTTTATTTATTTTTGTACCACTCTAGGGCAAAAGAAGAACACTACTGGGCCAGAATTAAACAAGATTTGGCACTACAAACACTGTACAAACAATAGTCCTTGCTGCAGAGTCTTCTAGACTTCATTTCATCCATTTTGTAAAAGTTTAGCCATTAGTGATATGATGTAACCCTGACCTCCTAGTATCCCACCTTAAGATCTAACCAAAAAGGCATCTTTATTACCCTTCCAGACACTGCCAAAATGCACCTGACCTTGGACTAGACCAGTCCTTCATTCTCATTCATCAAACATACAAAGTCAAAAGCCAGCGCTAGCCAAGGATGCATAAAGCAGAAAAAATCTGAACTAGGAAGTGGGTTCAAAGTTCAGTGATAGTCTGACTTGAGCTCAGCATAATTTTTGGATCATCAACTGTTAATCAATAATCTGAGCATTATTTAAACTCCACCACTCAAACTTCACAGCATATGCTTACAAGTTATGTAAAGGTATAAGTGAATACTTACAGCTTGGCCAAGGAGAGATTTGAAAAATCACTTATAATTAAGGAATGTATTGTTAATTATTCTTAAAGTTTTACTGAAGACTTTCATTCATTTTAACAGATAAAAATTGAAAGCTTTGTGCTGAAAACTCATCTCACAAAACAATTCAGGTAAGAATTTTTAATTTTTTTTCTAAAGTAATTTGTAAAGATACAGACTATATCTGAAAAGTGAGGCTATTCTGTGTAACTTTTTATGCTATGTCAGTGTTCCAAGTTATCTTCAAGAAAACAAGGCTGGCAATTTCATAGAAGCCTTCATAAAATACTATTAATGGGCTGTGATCTCCTGCCATGTAATCAGTATCATAAAAAACAGGCCTTAAGAAAGAATGTGTAATGGACAGCTTTTATTTAGAATTAGCCTGTGCTAAGAATTAGCCTGATTCATCTGGATCTCTTGAGATATCTTTCATTATTCAAAGTCTGAACCAATCATCTGCTGAGAATTTACAAGGGCTTCTTCAGGAATACTTATCATAACCTGGAAAAAACCCAAGTTATCAGGGTGCCTGTGCCCAATTACAAGAGGAGTAAGACAGAAATGTTTACATAGTTTCCTCTACAAATACCAAGGGAAGCAGCGCAGCCATGCAAACAGGCATCTAACAACAGGTGACTTGTGACTTAGAACTACAATGCTTACTAGACAAATTTAGCTTTGCTAGCAGAGAATCCTTCTCACCTTATTTTAGCTGCAAGGTAGAATATTGACAAGTGGCTTCCATCTACTATCTCTTAGAGCTGTTAGCACTGCAGAACAAATGTGGTTAGTTACAAAAGTTACTGTACTTTCAGGGCAGTGATTCTCAACTAGGAGACCATGATATCATTTTAAGGTTGCCATGGGGTGCAACTCAATATTAGCACCTATACAGGATTCACAATATAAACCCCAGAGATTTCAAATAGGATTCCAAAGTGCCAAAATCATTCTGACTTGCTGTGTTTGAGTTCCTTGCAATAGAAGAATTGCTTTATTATTTTTCTGTAGTCAAAAAACAAGAGAGAGCTAAGAGCTAGCATTTTCTGAGGGGTGCCTTGAGGGATACCTTAGGCAATGAGGGGTGCCATGAATCTAAAAAGGTTGAGAACCATTATTCTAGAGGGTGATCAAATACCATGATGATGGACATGGTATTAAGTGGTATACAAGACAACATCTAGTAGGATTGTTAACTGGGTTCGGCTCTGACTTGCCAGCAACTCTGCGACTGCACAAGAATTACGAGCTGCAGAATCTTTACGCTTAAGGATTAATTTCTAGTGGACTAACTATACTTTGAGTGAATATCAGTTTACATTTACCGACTCTGACTGGAAAAGACCCAACCCATCTTCTAATTCCTAGGTTAAATTTGCAGAATTGACACTAAAATAAGCAAAACATGTTTACTTGTAAACTGAGAACATTTTAATTAGAAAGAAACTCGGAGCATTACAGTCACCTTTTACTCTGAAAATGACTCTTCATTAAGAGCTTTTTTAAATTATAGAAGATTTCTAGCAAGCTTCTAGTTCTTTGGTTCATGTAAATTCATAACCTAAGAGTTTTATTTTGGTTTTCAAATCCAAATAATCCTGAAACTCAAAAGAAAACTGCATGAAGCTGCCACTCCCTCCTAGAAGTCCAAACCAAATAAACCCAGCAGTATCGAATGATTTTCAAATACAAATAAAGCTAGCCTAGGTTCTGTCCAAACTCTGCACCATTCAACAAAATTCTGTTTGGTCAATGTTCTGGTTCTGGTTAATGAAATTTCATCCAGCTCTCACCCCATGTACATTAAGGGTGCTTATACAAGTTACATTTTTTGTGCAGTAAGGCCCCTGAAAGCATTCTACAGCCATGACAACATGTTCACAGCTACAGGGAACTTTAAAAATGGCCTATCGTGCAAAAAATTAACCCTCATTAAATCAGCTATTAGCTGAAGGCGCTCTAGAGCAGGGAGAAGAAGCCTGAAGAAGCCCTTGTAAACTTTAGGGAGCTTCTGTTCAGGTTCCCTGCAAGCGTTAAATGCAGGAGATTCTGCCAGCATCCCATGCACCTTTGCGGGGCTGTCAGAGAGGAGAGAGTGTCCTTGTGCAGTGGTGGAGGAAGGAGGAAGGTGGGAGGGGATAGGGGTGGGGGAAACTACCCCTGCTGGGTCTTGGGGAGAGCCAGCCCAGACCTGCATGGTGAAGGGGCTCCATTCCACCTCCAGCTACCCACTAGCTCCGGCAGCAGCAAAGCTGAACCACCAGCCATGTGCTGCTGCTGTCAAGAGGCTGGGGAACAGAGCCCTCCTCCACCCCCAACCTCACTGACACAATCCAGCTCCACCCCCTGCCCCAGTACCTGAGCCAGGGTACCTAGGAGGGGGCCAGTGAGGCAGGGGGGGCTCCCTGCCCCCACCCCCTGCCAGAGCCTCTTGACAGTGGCAGCACGCAGCTGCTGGCTCAGGTTTGGGGGGGTGGGGTGGAACAGAGCCCCCCTGCCCCACTGCTTCCCACCCCAACTACCCTGGCTTGATTATTTGGGGGAGCTGGGCTCCTGTGAGTCCTGTGAGGTGAGGGGACTCCATTCCATGGCCTCCCTGCCCCAGCCACAACAAAGCTGGGCCAGCAGCCACCACTGTCAAGAGGCTCAGGCGGGGGGGGGGGGAGCTTCCCCCTGGCCCAGCTTCCTCTAATACCCCAGCCAGGAGGGGCCAGGAGGTGGAGAAGGCTCCCTCCCCCAGCCACCCCACCTGAGTCTCTTGGAAGGGGCAGTATCCAGCCGGGCTGGGACAAGTGGGGCAGGGCTTGGGAGAGGTGTGGACCAGCAGCCTCTTGGGAGGCTGCTGGAGTGCCCCTGCTTGCTGGTCAGGGCTGGTGCAGGCAGGCTCAAGCCCCTGCCACCCCACCTCCCCCCCAACCCAACAGGTGAATGCCTATTGGGTTCAGTGGTGTCAACTAATGGGCACTTTGTGTAAAATGCCATGAGTCAGAGCACCTCCCTGACAGGCTGCCAAAGTGTCTGCAGGCATCCTTAGATCCCGGAGCTCTGAAGCTAAAAACATAACAGTATTTGCAAGGTTTATGAAGGTCACTGATATAAGATATTCCACTTTTGATATATACTTCCTAAACTCTGGGGAGATGACAAGAGGTTTCTTTCATGTAGACAGCAACAGAGCTGCTGAAAGACTATTAACAGGAAAGGCCAAGTGACGATAACAGGAAAGGACAAGTAACGATAACAGTTAAGATAAACACTTAAAACATACTTTGCTGAATTAGAATGCTTATCACTGCTGTCTCTTTTGCTCTCTACATTGCAAAAAAGGAGGAAACCACAAATCTGAGTATGGTTGTTTAACTCCTTCCTTTTTGTGTCCTAGTGTCAAGGCATTTAGCAGAATTTGCATATTCACTGGAATCTGACAGGGCCACACTGTTAGCATTTCTGCTATGGCCTCTAAATAACTATGTAATTAGGCCTCTAATTACTAAATACCAGTATATCCAACTACGCAGCTACATACACATTGGGCATGTCTACATAAGATGTTTTACTGCATAGTAGAGCATCATTGTCTACATGTGCAGACCCTTACTGCGCAGTAATTACAGTAGTTACTGCACAGTAAAGCATGTGTAGATGGCTGACCAGGAGCAGGGGGTGGGAGATTGCTCCTTGCCTCTGGGAGCTGCCTGCTGCCGGGGCAGACTCCCATGGCAAAGCCCGAGTGGGGACAATGTCCCTCTGCCCCAGCAGCAGGGAGCTCCCGGCCCCAGCTCAGCAATCATGGAGAAGGGGCCAGGAGCTCCCTGCTACCAGATTAGGGGGATATTGCCCCTGCCTGTGCTCTGTCACAGGAGCCTGCCCTGGTACCAGACAGCTCTCAGGGGCAGGAGGCAATCTCCTCATCCTGTGCTCCCTGCCAGCCCCTGGGCTAGCTTAGAGCTCCCCCTGGAGGCTGCAGGGTGGTAGAGTCGGGTGGGAGCAGCCCTCTCCAGGCTGCTCCCATTAAGAGCAAATCTACTCCCAAATGCCCACTTGTATAGGTGCCTGCTCAGGGTAGGTTTACTCTGGATTAAATTAGTTTGCAGTAAACCCATCCAGCAGCATTTGCACATGTAGATGAACCCATTGCTGCTCTGGTTAGTGTCTGGTAAGGTTTAAATCATAACATGCTAGGAGCAGCATGACAGCTCTCACTGAAAGATCCTACTCTGCTGCTGTCACTAGTGCCATATCAGTGATATGCATGCTGTTGACCGAATTCACAGGGTATGACGGACAGGTACAAATTTTCTGCTTACAGGCCTGACTGAATCACTTCAGTAGTTTCGTTATGGAAGAAAAGTACCAATCCAGTATCGCTTTCTTTAGGTTTCCAACTAGAAGGAAAGTTTCAAATCCTGTGGTGGGATGAGCTGAAGCAGAGCTTTCTGCATGGTGCCGATCCCTCAGCCGGAGAGGAGATGCCTGTCACCTGTAGTAACCTATCATGATTGTTCACCAAGGTTTCTGCCAGCAGAAACCCAGCTAACTTTGGTCCTTTGAATGTCTCCCCTCTTTCAGAGTGTTTTTTTGTCAATTCAGGGGCTTAGTGAAAAGACAGGAAGGAAGGTGGGAGTGAGGCCAATTAGGAAATACAGTTGTTGGTTTGAATAGTCTTTTCTTGCAACTGAAGTATCTAACTGTTTTTTTTAGCCCACAAGATAAATCAGTCCAGTGACTGCAATGCACATGACAAATTAACAATTTAGCATTAGAACAATGGAAGTGTTGCCAAATCTTACTGACAACATTTGGGATTTTACTTAAAGTGGCAGCTCTTGAGGTTGGGTTAATCCTTAATTTAAAATTGAAATTTCTTCCCCTTCCAGTGGTGGAGAAAAACTTGAAAAATGAGAATGTTGAAACACAAGAAACCAATTAATAACAACCTAAGCTATTTATCATAATTAATGATATTGCATGTATGCATATATGACAATTATTATGTGCATATTAAATCATTTGTTAAATGCTACAAGTAATTATGCAGTTATTCAAATCTAATGGTTTTTAAGCCAACCTCACGATTTTGAGGGCCTGATGTGATTTTTAAACAACTGATGATTTTTAATAATGCTGCATCAGGATCCAACTGCCTCGGTTAGGAAATACAGCGGGCCATATCCCAATGTTTCCTATACTAGGTAAGTCTGGAGTGACTCTTGTGGAGGGCGCAGCATAACTATAGCTATATTTACAAAAGTGTGAATAACAGAATCAGCTGCTAAACAGTGGAGTGGAAACCTTAATAGGGTACAATGAGAGCAACTTATTGCTTTTAACCATATTTGCTCCAGCTGTGCATCCTCCCTACAAAATGGCTTTTTGAATGAGATTTGTTACTCAAAACGAAGGCAAATTTTGTTTCTAACAAACAGGAAAATATCCAATGACTTAAAAGGGAACAAGATCACTCGCAATACATGCAACACTCACATTTCAGATAAAGCATTTAGGTGGGAGGGCCAAGAAGAGAGCCCATTTATTAGAAGTTACACGGTTAAGTACTATTTTTCTGGCAACTTATCTCATCTGTTCTTGGGGATGACTTCATTATATCCAAAACAATAATTAGAATCTTGCAACTTGTAAGCACTGCTTAGCACAAACAGAAACTACTAATTCCAAATTTCTCAGGAGGTGACTTATAACTGGCACACTCACATGGCTATTCAAAACTTCCCTAGGCCAGCAGGAAAAATGCTAATCTTTTCTAAATAAACACTAACTAATAATCAATCGTTTGAAAAAAAATCTCATCTTAGTATCCAAATCCATTTTATACTGACCCAACACACAGAGGACCCATTCCTCCAGTTTAAATATATAAGTACAACTGATTAAGTTACTTATATTTTAAATCAGCACAGTTTTGATTATTTAAAAGTTACTGCTGCCTTTTCTAACTAGCTACATCTCCAGCATTCAAAAAATACAAGGTAATCAAAATGACCTGTAATCACCATATGTACTCAAGATTGTTTCATGGAGTCTCAGATAACTTACATAGAATATACCAACTATCAGAAGCTATAATTATCCTTCAGACAGATTATTGTACATAACTGTACTTATATAACCATTGCCTGTTTAGTGTTTTTACCTAAGTACTATATGCTGCTTTTCAGTAAACAACCTTTTAGGTAAGCAGGAATAGAAGTGCATTTGAAATGTCTGAGCCTAGTCTGTGGGTCCTGATTCAGACTTTTATGTCAGCCTATCAAAAGCATCCATTTGATAAAGGAACTGCCCACCAGTCTGTGAGTACTCAAAGAAAGCCACTATATTACTTATAGACTGACTGACTGCTTTCCCTTGGCTGTATGAAGTTGGATGGAACTTGCAATCTGTCCAATCCTTGCATCTTCAGAAGTAATTTAGGTAAGAAGACGTACAAGTATATTTTCTCCCGCATTTTAAAACTGAAATTTGTAATTCCTGACTATTCATTATTTAGCAAATATTGATCACATGCTCTTTAATCTGAATTCGTTTTGTACTGCATGTGTTTTTTTGTCTTCCTTCCATTCATATGCAGAGATTCATTTGCCCCAAGCAATTTGCTGACCAATACAATTTTGCTTAGTGTAACAGCTCAGTATGTTTTAATCTAAATATAGGAAGGATCATACAAAGAAAAAATAAGGATCAGCCTTGCTGGACAATTGCACAGAAAGTTGTGATTATTCTATTTTGCATCACTGAAATAAAAATAGCTCAGAAATTCCTGGAGTGATACATGGTTGACCTTTATTATTATTCAATACAACCCCAATGATAAAAATTAATCACTTATATATAACTTAAATCCAGTTTTATTTTAAAAAATAAACCTATTTAAAAATGAAATCAGACATGACAGCAGCTTATGTTAAGATCCAAATGTACTATCTATTAAAATTATAAAAACAATTTTTAAATATTTTCATCCGTGAACCCTCCATAAGTTTTCATATGTTAAAGGGTACTGCTTTTTAACATGATACAGAACAGGGGAGAAACACCTCACAATAGCATATATTGCATTAAGTAAGGGCTTGCTTCCATGTACCATGCAGCAAATCCCCTACTGTAGCTTATACTCCAAAGAATTCTTTGGCTGATATGTCTTATACCAATGCCCAGCCAGCAGAACTGTATATATATTAAGGTTTTGCTACCATAGCTATGTTAGTTAGGAGGCATGACTTTTTTCACACTCCTAATAGCCAGCAAGTAAAGCAAGTCAGAACATTTATTTTCTATCTTGAAGGAGCACATACTGGTATTTATAGTTTTTCAAATGTAAATATTTTCATTTTCCCTTGTACAGGAAACCTTTTTTTTAATTACTTTTATTTTCAATTTAACTAGTAAGTGCAGGGATTTTTATTTCATTGGACTAATTCACTGAAAATTGAGACTGATTTAGAATAAAAAATAAGGAAATCTTGTTTTCCCTTGCCAATTTACAAACTTAAAACCAGATGGGACGAGGTGAGATGTACTAATTCTGTTTTTTAAAGGTATTTAGGTCTCTAAATATGCAGATACATGTATAGTGTGGCTGCAAGGACATTTAAGCAGACTAAGTACCTAGTTTTCATAGGTGTTTTTGCAAACCCTGCTGGAAATCTAACTCCATGTTTAGGTCCTTAAACTCTTTTGAAAATCTGACCCAAGGTAACAAAAAAAAATTGCCTGTTTACTAATTACAGTTAATACTTCCTTTGTTTAATAAATCAGGTTTAAATGCAAAAATATATTCTGTTGTATAGCATTTATTTGGCATATTTGAGATTATTTTTATTTAGAAAACTATTCTAAAATGCTGGCTTGCTATTTTTAATTACATTTTTCATCCAAATACAGTCTAATAAAAATTCAGAATAAAAAACCCATCATCTAGTAAATAATAAATGAATTGTGTAGTACAATACAATAAATACACACTATTTTCTCACATACCACACACCCACAAATAAGACATGTATCTTGCTTGGGGGAGGGCAGAATGAAAAAAGATATTTCTAAAGTTATGGTTACATAGAACAAAGACAGAGCATATACTTTAGTTCACTCACCCTTCCTTTCCTGCTCAAACAGAAACTGAAACTGAAGACTAGTCTCCATGGGTGGATCTACAAATCTGAAATAAGCTAAAAACAATCTGTTAGGCTGTAACATAGGAGAAGAGAGGCCAGGAGTAGCTAACAGACAGCAAAACTGCCAGAAGAAAGGTTAACCTGATTAGAGGAACATCAAGACCATGAAACAGGAGAGGTGGTCATTAATACCAGTGGAATGAAGAGCAATGAACCATTAAATCACTATGCTTCCTGAATAGAAATGCCACTACTGCTGCCAGGCACTTCGCTTTAATCTTTGGGTGAAGGAAGAATCAAAATGAAGTACTTGTATTTTGGACAAATAAAAAAAGATTAGCTTTTCTTCTTAAGACACACATCCCAATTCTGGAAAGCTAAGTTTTGGGGAAAGAATGTGTATAGTATGTGAGTAAATATGAAAATAAAAAATTGTAAAACTTAACAGACTAAATAGATATTTCTTATGAAGCTTTATAATTGCTTCAATAATTGTGCAAATAGGTATAGTATAGTCTCCAGTTTATCAAAAAAGAAATAGATTCAAAGTTAAAGCCACATTTGTTTGCAAATAAGCATATTAAGTAGTTATACCAAACAATAAGGACCTTTCCTTTAAAAAAATGAAAAAGTACAAACCAAAAGATTAAAATATTATTCAGAACAAAGTTTTCTATTTGTTGATTTCAGCCAGGGGAGGGCAATTATTTGGGCCCAGGGGCCACATAACACAGGGAGTTTTGATGCGTAGTTGTGGGCCAGGTCAGCACCGCCCCTTCCCCCCAACAACTCACTAAAACTCCATATGTGGGATGGGGCTGCAGGCAGACAGGAAGCGATGTTCAGGAATGGGATGGGTGGGCAAGGCCAGGATCATAGGGTGGTGACAGTGTGGGGCTGGGGCCTGGAGCAGAGCCATGATTCATTTCCTGCAAGTCCCTGCCTATGGGTGAGGGTGTTGGGGGGGAGGTGTAAGAGGGCATGTGTGCATGTGTGCGGGGGGGACTGCCTGGGTGCTAGGTTCTGGGAGCCAGCCTGGTGTGAGGGGAGGGAAGAAGGGGCAGAGCGAATGTGTAGCAGAGCTTGCCCATGCCAGGCAGTATGAGTGTATGAGTGGGCGGGATTCAGCCCCTACAGCGCTCTACAGAGTGGGGCCGAGCCCCGCCCACTCCAACCCAGGGCAAGCTGTGCCGCACTCCAGCCCACTCACACAGCTTACTGGTGAGGCTGCTCCCAGTGCATCTGCAGCCACCTGGGTGCTGCTCAGCTCCCCTCACCTCCAGGGGCGGCTCCTTCTCCTACTCTTGTTCATGCTGCACTGTTCTGGGTGGGGAGGAAGCTTCAGCCAGATGGCTCCTGCCCCAGCGCACAAAGTTCTGGTTCCAGCTGCCTTTCACTCACTCTGCCTGCCCAGTGCAACAAGCTGCTACCTGCAGGGGACTGAGTGGATAGAAAGCAGTCAGGAGCTGAAGCCAGAGCCCCATGCACTGGGGCAGGAGCCACCTGTCTGAAGCTTCCTCACAGCCTGGAGTAGCACAGCATGGACAAGAGCAAGAGGAGGAGGAGCCACCCCTGGAGGTGAGGGAAGCTGAGCAGCATGCGGGTGGTTGCAGCCGCACAAGAAGCAGCCTTGGTGGTAAGCTGCGTGCGCTGGCCCTGACTAGGGCTGGCAGGCATGGGCAGGAGCACAGCACTGGCTACTCTGTATACTTTGTTTTTACAGGATATTCTAAAAGAGGGTGGTCATTGTGCACTGTCTATACATGCATTTACATACAACTTTTCATAGGATTCCCTTGGCATTCCATACTCACTTGTTTTCATCAAAGGTGTGTGCAGAAGAGAAGAATAGCAAAGCCTGTGTAGCCTATCTTTCAGTGGAATGGCACTTGGCATAACACACATGGTATTTTCCAGCCTACCCATTCCATTTTAACTGTCCACCTGTTTGTATGGGCTTGTCTAAACTATAGTGCCTCTGTTGCTACAGCTATGGCAATGTAGCTATGTCAGCAGTCCCTTAGCGGAGATGCAACGCAGTACCTGCCAATAGAAAACCAACACCACCTTTCCAAATGACATAAGTTGAAAAAGTACTCTTCTGTCGTTGCATCCACCAGGTGGAGTGCAAAGCTAGGTCAGAAAAAATTGGTATTGCAGATTACTTTCCAGGAAACATAGCTAAGGTTGGAGGAACTATAGGATGCACATTTAAATGTATGGTGAACATTAAAAAAATCTCAATACCCTGACACTACAAACATTAAAACCTCAGTATCCTGACACTAGTAAACTACTTCCAGGTTTAGTACTTCTATTAACAGAACCCTCTCCCCATAGGTTGAGAACATCTGCTGTGACAGCTCACTACCCTATGCATAGCTTCCACATCAAGGCCCATATATCCCATAATACAACTACATTCTACTTCCTCTATGCTTATTCACAACATTTAGTATAAGAAGCCTTATATTTATTTCAAATTTTAGTATTCAAGTATACTTGGCCATTCTAGTGTGAGGCATGTACTGCATTCAAGAATGGTAGATGGAATTCTATGTTATTCATAACATGTACTACATGTTAAAAATAGTGACAATTAATTTAGCTCTGTTTTTGCTTAGTGAAACAAATCTGACTCCTATGAGCGTCCGCTGGATAATTTACAGACTGTTGGTTATTTGGAGGCTCTGTTCTTTATTAGAGTTGTTCAACTCTAGATCTCAGATCCCATGGTATTCTTTTAAGCAGCTGACTTAAACTTTATTATGAACACAAATTAAAAGTAACAAATTTCAGCGACAAATTTTAAGAGTTAAAAGTGTTTGTGCTGAAATATTTAGTGCAGTATATAACTTCTGGGAGCTTTGAACACTTACAAGTATTAACACCACAAGAACTCTGATCCTAACTACCATTTTTTTAACATCTTAGGAACCGATGCATGAAGTGAATGCACAGAAAATGGAAAGACAAATAGAGGCCATCAAAATAGATGACAGTTCAGCATCTGCATTTCAAATGGAAAGAAAGGTTCACATGAAGATAAACAGGAAAGAAATTATCCAAGCCAAGCTGAGGAAGAGCTGTTCCTGCACAACACAGAGACTGAAAAACACAGTCCTAGATTTCTTCCCTGTACTACGATGGCTTCCTAAATACTCCTACAAAGAGTACATCTGGGGGGACATTATGTCTGGGTTAGTGATTGGGATCATTTTAGTTCCCCAAGCAATAGCCTACTCCCTGCTAGCAGGTCTGAAGCCCATTTACAGCCTTTACACATCATTCTTTGCCAACATAATTTACTTCCTGATGGGCACTTCCCGACATGTGTCAGTTGGCATTTTCAGCTTAATAAGCTTAATGGTAGGACAAGTTGTGGACCGAGAGCTGCTCTTGGCAGGGTTTGACCTGAATGACGATGCTCCACCAGCCTTCAGTGACAGCTCTCCATGGAAGAGAAATGATTCTAACATAACAGCCTTCAATCTTACCTTTGCGGGGCTGAATGCGGAGTGTGAGAAAGAGTGCTATGCTATCGGAATTGCTACAGCTTTGACCTTTCTGGCTGGAGTTTACCAAGTAAGTTGCTGCCTATGTACACGGGTAAGATATGAAAGTCTTAGGCAACGTCCAGATAGTGTGGCGATCTCAAACATGCTATGATGCTCCACAAATAAACAACCCCGTGTTAATGGGCCTGCCCTCAGCAGTGCACAGATGTGGCTACACTGCTTCCAGTTAGGCAGGAGGCACTGTATCTGAAGAGCAGGTTTGATAGTGCCACTGCTGAGCACTGTCGTTTTGCAGTCTAGGCAAGGTCTTATGTGCATCCCCATGCTTCTCACTTCAGTTAAACTTTCCCCACCTCATTTTAGTCAAATGGTGATTGAAATTTTTCTTTCAGGATTCCTGGCACTATATTACAAAGCTTATATTAAAAAAAAAAAATCCAACCAAACAAACAAAACCAAAAAAAAAAAAGTTAGGCAAATAGATTTTATTGTCTAGTAACTTTAAGTTTAAATTTACAAAAAGAATTCCAGGGCTACAATAGCAGGGACTGGGCTGAATGACCAGGGGTCTTTTCAATTACTGTATACCTTTGTGGGACAAATGCTGCAGTTCAAAATTACAAATTATTATGACTATTACAAAATAGCCAAAATTACTACTGGCTTTAATGGAAGTTTCACTGACACGGGTCATGATGTTCAACAGCATTCTGGCCTTGGGTGACAATGGTAGCAACAGAGGCCAGGCAGGCTGTGGCAGCCGTTGAGCCAGCAGCGATGGTGGATGATGTTCCTGTGCCCTCTCTTAAGTGGATGCCTGGGGCTGATGCCTCAGTCATCCATCCTTCGTTTTGTTACTGTCTGGGAAGTTCCCAGGTGCCAGAAAGTCAATTTAAAAGCTTCAACAACTTTGATTCACAGCTTCTCATGGGGCTGTGGCACTTCTGTTCCGACTGCCAGAACGGCTGTGAAGCGTAAGTTAGAGCGAAGTGTTCTAACACCAGAGCTTGTTAGTGCAATTATATGATCAATATTACTCTTTTATTAAAGGTTCATGGATATTAATGTGCAAAAAGGATATATAAAGGACAGGGAAACTTGAAACAATTTAATCCTCTTTCTTCAAGTTTGAATTTTGCTGAGTTAATAAGTCTTTGGGACTAGAACTCTAGAGAGGCAGGAGAGGAGAGTTACAGGAAGACAGCACTTCAAAGTGTAATGTAAATTTAATTTCCATTAGGTTCCAGCAGTGCACAGTTCTTAAAGTCTTAGGATCCATGTATGCTTCAGACCATGCCACAGTGGTCTGAAAATCAGCATGTTAAAAACCTGAGCCTCCTACCCTATGGTCACACTCTTTTAATGGAGAGGCCAGCTGAGTAGAGATGCTCTCTCTGTCCCTCTGGAGGTGTGCATGTGCACGCACACACATACTTTTTCTCAAGAGTAAGACAGGACATTTCCCTAAGCACACTTAACAAGGATGAGTTCAGTGCTATGAATGCAGATATAGCACAGTCCCTCTTTCTCTGTACTGGTCAGTGAAGTAACACATTACTCAAAGCCACTGTATTCAACCACAGCACTGGGCAACATAATTTGAGCTTGAATGCAGAAAGCACAAAAAAGAAAGCTCATTGACTAGCCTGCATTTCAGAGAGAGGCTGTACAGGACAAGGGGCACGTTGTTTCATACTTGTTAACCCACTTGCTATCTCAGATCCACTGAAAGTAAGGGGGTGAGACGGGCATAAAAAAGACCATCTTGGGTTATTATTTTTCTTTTAATTTCCTTAAATTTGAAGCTACCTTAAATTAAAAAGATGAAATAGTCACATTTTTTATTAAAACTGGATGCCTGATACCCTGTATAAAACAAAACAGAAAGCATGGCTTAAATGTCCAAAAGCAACTAGAGGAAGGAGGGGACAATGGTTAGTTAGGCCACTGGCTTCAGACTTTGGAGACTATGAAACACAGTTACTACAGACTTCTGTGCAGCTTTGTACAAGCCTGTATTTCACCTCCCCTTTGTAAATAGGAAGAATAGCACTGTCCTACCTTCCAGGAGTGCTATGAGCACAACTACAGTAAGCCTGTGTTAGTAAGCTGTGTTACTTAGGCGGCCCCTTTCAGACAGCTTAAAAACTCCTGATTTGAGAAGTACAGATGCTCAGTACTTCTGGGGATGAGGCTGCTTGAACACACCTCAACAGACCATTCAAATCCTGAGATATCCAACATCATTGCACCTGCGTATAGTGTCAAAGTTATAAAGAAAAACACAGTTCAGACTTGAAGAGGTTTTCTTGAACATGATTAGCTAAAGACAATAAAATACCACTTTTGTTGGAGTTGAAACCTCACAATTGTCATGGCACAATAGGGACAAAGCTTTATTTTACCTTAGCAGAGGTGAAATAACAATTTGCTGTGGCTATAACAGAAGCACTCAGGATCTAGTTCCCTGCCTTACACTGGAACAAATTCAGACAAGCATGCATCACTTCAGGTGAGCTGCTTTTGAATTAGTTCAATTTGATCCACTTCAAGAATTGCTTTTTTCATCTCTTTTGTTCATGATATATCAAAGCGATAAAAGGAATTCACACATTTTACACATGGATCTGAAATAACAACAGTTCCCTGCTGGTTTAAGAATTAGAACTGTCAAGCACTCTTCACCTACAAGTGCTCTCCCTCTTATGTGCAGTATCATTTATTTTTCATCTTCTTGCTTTTCTTTCAGATCCTGATGGGAATCTTTCGTCTTGGCTTTGTATCTGTATACCTTTCAGAATCCATGCTGGATGGATTTGCAACTGGTGCTTCTTTAACAATCTTAACTGCTCAAGTTAAGTATCTTATTGGAATAAAAATCCCACGCAGCCAAGGGCTTGGGATGCTTGTAATGACCTGGTTTAATATTTTTCAAAATATTGCTCAGGCTAATCTCTGTGATGTAATAACAAGTACTATTTGCATTGTTGTGTTGGTCGCTGCTAAGGAAGTGGGAGATAGATACAAACATAAACTGAAATTCCCACTTCCGACAGAGTTGGTGATTATTGTTGTGGCCACACTGGTTTCACATTATGGGAAACTGAATGAAGTTTATGGATCCAGTGTCTCAGGTGCAATTCCAACTGGATTCATTCCTCCCCAGGTGCCAAGTTTCAATCTAATGTTTCGAGTTGCTGTAGATGCTGTGCCTCTTGCTATAGTTAGCTTTGCATTCACAGTCTCCTTATCAGAAATGTTTGCCAAGAAATATGCCTATACGATCAGAGCCAATCAGGAAATGTTTGCTATAGCATTCTGCAACATTATTCCATCTTTTTTCCATTCCTTTGCAACCAGTGCAGCTCTTGCAAAAACTCTGGTCAAAACTTCTACAGGCTGTGAGACACAGGTATCAAGCGTTGTTAGTGCCATGGTAGTGCTGCTGGTCCTGCTGTTCTTAGCACCACTGTTTTATTCTTTGCAAAAGTGTGTCTTGGCATGTATCATCATAGTCAGTCTCAGAGGAGCCCTTCGGAAGTTCAAAGACGTGCCACAGCGATACTACCTGAACAAAGTGGACACTGTAGTCTGGTGTGTGACTATGCTCTCCTCTGCCCTAATCAGCACAGAAGTTGGGCTTTTAGTTGGTGTTGCCTTTTCCATGCTGTCCATCATTGGTCGGACTCAGCGGCCGCCTACTGCCCTGCTGAGTCAGATCCCCAGCACTGTCTTTTATGAGAATGATCAGGAATATGAAAATCTCTCCCCTGTTCCAAAGGTCAAAATATTCCGTTTTGAAGCACCACTTTACTATGCAAACAAAGACTTTTTCGTGAAGTCTCTCTATAGAATGACAGGGCTAGATCCTACACTGGAAGTTGCAAGAAGGAAGAAGCAGGACAAGAGGGAAAAAGAGCATCTAAAGAAGGAAAACCAAGCTACAAACGTTAATGGATTCAGTCAGGCAGATACAACTTTACACTTGGTCCCTAAACAACTTGATTTCCAAACCATCATCATAGACTGTTCCTCCTTCTCATTTTTAGACATACCTGGTGTCAACACACTGAAGGAAATATTGAAAGACTATGGGGCACTAAACATCGCTATTCTTCTGGCTTGCTGCACTCCCTCTGTGATTGACTCTCTGAAAAGAGGGGGGTATTTTGAGAAGGATGATAGAAACATGCATGAAATGCTGTTCTATAGCGTACACAGTGCCGTGCAGTTTGCAAGGGACAGAAAGCCTTTGGCAGACAATTCCACTGTTTAGCCTGAAAGGTCCATAGTTTCTCCTATGTTGCTTTCCACATAAGTGGGACAGTTTAAAGTAATTCCCATTAAAAAAAGGCAGACCCTTGACTTGCTGCTCAGGAGCAATCTGCCTTGTTGACATTGTCTCAGGAGGATGTCTGCAGCATGGTGGACCCAGCACAAGACAGTCCCTGTGAGGCTGCAGATTACTAATAATGGGATTGAGGACCAGATGGAAAGAAACAGAAATGCACTCAATTACTACCTGCACTATCACTTTAAAATACATATATTGTGCTGGAAGGCAGACTGGAAGTTGCTTTTCCCTTGATCTACAAACTTGTACTCTGGGGCCAGATCCAGCATGCCACTTAGGCGCCTAAGTATTTTACTCTTTAAGTCCTTGAAAAATCATCAACACCAGCCTTCATCTTAACCTTAAAACCAGGTTACAATATGTGGCAAGCAGAAATACAGTCCACACACCCCTGTTCTGAACAAATAGTTTTACAGAGGTCAGAACAGAGTAGAAAAGGATTGCCCTTAGAGGTGGGTGCACACATGCCTCAGGGCTAGTGGTGGGGAAGGGGCTAAGGCTATGCTTTCACAGTAAGGATTGGGCCCCTCTTGGCTCCCCAACTGTCCACCCTGGCACGTCGACATCTTACAAGTTGAGGTGGTTGTTTCTGGCACTGCTCAAAAACGTTGCTGACCTCTGCTCTGGTACATCATCCTATTTATAGCAACAGATTTAGCTCAGTTGGTTAGATCAAGGTTGCAAGTTTGATCCCTGATTGTGCCAGATGATCTCTTGAAGTCCCTTCCAGCCTTGTCTGTGAGACATTTTTCCCCAGTTAAGAAGACACTAGAAAACTTTACTAATATACTAGTAGCCTCAGGTTATATTATTTAAGATTGAAGCAAAAACAAATATAACTTTACTGGAATGTGCATTAATTGGCTATATTATATATTATGTACCAAAAACATAACTAGGCAAAAATAATCAAAAGACATTTCATTAGTCCTGTTATCATTAGAATTAAATGTACATCTCTTTCAGAGCTTCCCTGTTCATCTTGAGAGTGCATCTAGTGCTTTGTTGAAAGTTATTTCCATACCTGAGTCCTTGTTCTAACTAGAGGTAAAAGTAGTGAAAAGGTTGTGAAAAAGGAGTTACATTACCATGAACAGCTAACAGACAGCAGAATTGCAGAACAAAGGATAGTTTCATTAGTGTAACCTTTAAAGATCATTCAAAAGGAGGATAAGGTTATAAACGTTTGTAAAATGAAGGGTTTAGAGGGAATCAGGTGTATAATGAGCCAGGTTCCTCAGCTGACTCCCTCATTTCTGCTGCTACCACTGTCAGACAGTTGGTTTTAAACTTTGGATGGAGCAGGAATCAAAGTGGTGGGGAGGAGCGGTGGGCAGGCAAGGGGAGACATTAAACTGCACCACTGTATCCTGCCCCACTTGGATCCGACCCTGCATGGTTGTATGAATCAGACACATCAAAAGGCATGACGATTACACTCAGATTTGCTGTGAGAAAATGCTTAACATTATTAAGAAGAGGGAAGTGCTTAGATGTCAGTCTCAGCTACACTGGTGCATCCCCATCCACTTAAAATGAGGTGTACTAGTTTAACCAGTCGGACTCTGTGACACTGTGAAACCATCTGTCACAAAGGTCTTGAGCTTAAAACCTAGCGATTTGACTACAATATTGTGTTCATATCATATTTGTCAGACTGAGTGCAATGCAGAGAGGAATAAACAAGAATGGAAAAAAATTGAAGGCAAAAAATGCAACAAGGAAATTCTGAAATCTGGCTTGGAATGGAAGAGATGAGCCCATTCAAAACAGTTACACTGGTATGAATGTAGTGTTACAATGCCACTTAAGTTTTTCTGCCATGAAGTCTATTTAACAACATGATCCATTAAAGAGCTGGTTTCCTATCCCCACTGCTAACCACCATCATGCTGCTACCTTGTGTTCTCCCTGCTAGTCACTGGTTTGTCTTAATGTGCAGGTATTTAGGCAGCAAGAATCAGCCCTTTTGCATGTATTAGGCATAGCATTGAGGTCAGGGCCATGGTTGCTCCTGCACTGTATAGTTGTACAGTGCAGCAGGTTACCACTGGGAGTGAAAAGGAGATCAAGCTATAATGACTTAAGGCCTTAGGATTGGCACCTGAAGAAAAAAAGGTAAGAGATGGAGCTCTAACCTGTGAAACTAATCTGGTCTTAAAGATGGAGCAGAAATAAGGGAAGTCTTAAAACTAAAGCCCAGAAGACTTGTTATTACTTAAAGAAGACAGAGTTCTAACTTAAAGTTGGAGGAAAAAGCAGCTGGCCTTTTGGTCTCTTTTTATTACATGTGCTGGAAAGGGGTTGTGGAGTCTGGTGGCTCTTTTTAATGTAAGCTCTCTTCCATCATTCTTTCCATTAAAAGTGCATCCTAGTAGATCTGAGTGAAGTAATTCAGGTGTGAGAGGAAGCACTGCCTTGAAAGAAGCCTACTGACTAGAGATTTTAGAAGCCATTTATATTTTGAATTTCCTTACACCAAGTGTTTTTGGGTACTGACTCACATGCTAGTGTGTTGGGAAATGTAGAGTACTCACATGCCAAAAACAACTTCATCTATTATTTTTTTACTGTTCATAGGTATAGGGTCTTCTGACTCTGAAGGGGCTGGTGATGGGATTTTACTTTCATGTTGGTTCAGTATTAGGGCTTAATAAATACTTAGATGAGCTCTTTAATACCTCTTACACTAGGACTCTTTTCTTGTCTGGCTGGAATATATATTTTTTCAAGTGTTGTGTTTGGTATAAAAGTCATGTATTTAACCTTACTTATTCATAGCTACAGTTCAAAGGAGGGATATCTTGTTTCGGGTTCAGGGGAGAGATGGGTCTGTATGCCTGGATAATGGGTCCAAATCTCTATGCAAGTTCTGCCCCTTGGCTACTGAGGGCATGTGGGTTGGTAACTAACCATCTGGTCAGAGAATGACCCCCATCACTGAGACTACATATGTCATACAGCCTGGAAATGAAACAAAATGTATTATTTTATTATTAAAAATAAAGTTCGCTGTTTTGTGAAGACTGCCTGCCTAATGGTGGTGTCCTTCTTTAGAGCATAACATCTCAACCTGTGGCTCATGTACCCCTGGGGGTACGCGAGACGCAGGCAAGGGGTATGTGGGCACAGAAAACCCCAACAGCAAGGGGATGCCACTGCTCCCCTGCCGCTACCGAGTTCACATCCAGCTGCTCACCCCCAAGTCGGCCAAAGGCTGCTGCAGGAGGGGGAGGGCGGGCACACAGATACCCGCGTACTCCCTGCTGAGAGACAGATAAATTTTCTCTTTTTTATCCTGCCTGGGCTTTGGGGGTTGGGGGGGGGGAAGGGGGGACAGACCGAGACCCCCAGAGTGCAGGAGGGACAGGGCACTGCCCTGCTCCCTCCTGCACTGTGGGGATTGGCCCCACAACCTGGCCTGCCCGGGGCCCAGTTCACTGCGGGCAGGAGGGCTGGCAGTGGCACCGGGCTCTTCCCGGTGCTCAGGGCAGGCTGCAGTGATGGGAGGGGGGCTGCTGCCTGCCCCCCCAGTGCCACTGCTGCCGTGCACAGGGAAAAGCCTTGTGCTGCCGCCAGATCCTGCCTGTAGGGCAGGATAGCTTGCTCTGTGCTCTGAGGCACATGTGCAGTCACCTCCAGCATGGAGCTGATACTGGGGCTGCGGACCCGGGTGCAGCTGTTTGCAGCCTGCTTGCTGCAGCTGACCCAGAGCATAGGCTGGATACAAGCGGCGCCAGTGGCAGCACAAGGTTTTTCTGGGCTGTGCTGCCGCAGGCCCCCCCCTTCCCCCCCATCTGCTCAGAGCCACAGGATACTGGAGCCTGGAGCAGCTCCTTTGCAGCCTCCTGGCTGCAGCCAGCCCAGGCTTTGGCTAGCTGCTGCCAGCCACAGAGCCCGGGCTGCTTGCAGCAGGGCTTGCAGCCTCCCAGCTGCCTGCTGGAAACAGCCCGGGCTCCATGGTTGGCAGCACCTGCCTAGAGTCTGGGCTGGCGGTGGCGTGCCAAGCAAAATGGCCTCGCGTGCCATGTTTGGCACACATGTTCCAGGGGTTGCCAACCCCTGCCCTACAGACTTACTGCGCCAAGCAAAATGGCCTCGCATGCCATGCTTGGCACGCGTGTCCCGGGGGTTACCGACCCCTGCCCTACAGACTTACCTCACCGTGCCATGGGCCTCTGCTTCTCCCCATCACCCCAACCCCTGCCGCAGCAGCCCCAGAAGCAGTCAACACCACCTGCCTGCACTACAATTATGGTTGGTACCTGTTCCCTCTCTCTCCCTCCTTCCCTCTCTCCCTTCACCCTCCCTGCTTCCCTGTCTTGCTCTCTCTCTCACCCTATCTCTCTCTCTCTCTCCCCCCCCCCCCCCCCCCCCCCCCCCCCCCTCCCTCCTCTCAAAACTATGGCAAAAATGTGGTACACCACGCTTTAAATTCCCCAGCAATAATTTGGCGTGCCACATTTTGCGCGATGCTGGGTTCAGTCCTCCTAGCTTTGGCCAACATCACCTCCAGCCCAGGTACATTCTTGAGCACCCCTTGTGTAAAAGGTAGCAACCCTACCCACACCAGATCAGACATCTGTCATATCATGGCCTTATATATGCAGCCCTTCTTCCAACTTATAGCACACATTAGTCTGTAAGTATAAAATCCCCTGGAAAATTGAGTGTCGGGGTACTTTTTAAAATTTTCAGAAGTTAGGGGGTACTTGATACTTAAAAGTTTGAAAAACACTGCTTTAGAGGACTCTGCTTGAGCCATGAAAGGTTCACTGTGTTTTCAAAGGAAAGAAAGTAGGATCCTGGTCAGGAGTGGAGCAGGCAATCACTAGGTAGTGCCATGACCTGGGCACGAAAGTAAAAAGAAAAATGGTTGGTTGTTCTTTCATCTTTAACCACGAACCTCTTCAGAATGAACACCACAGATACACAACTCCACAGGGCTCAAAACAGTATATATTCCTCTGTCAGTCCTTTACTCTTTTCTCTCTGCCCTAACTACCCTCTATCCTGCTGTCCTCTCTCAATTCACTCATATTCACTAACTCCATGACACTTGCCCTCAGTCCTCACAGGTTGCTCCTCTTCTTACTCACAATCTCCCCAGCCTCTTATAAAACCCATCAGACAGGTAGACCTCTCCTAGTTCTATTGAGCTCTGCACCTCCTGAGACCCACCTGCTTTCCCTATCAGGTTCACCCCAAGCTCAGAGCTCCCCTCCTGTTCCGGCTAAGGATGCCACCAACTTTTGCCATCCCCAGGCTCACAGGCTGCCCTTCCTCCAGCTGATATTCATAAGGCCTGTATTACCAGCTGCATGCCTCTTCTCATTACAACACTTGTATTTTAGTAGAGAAGTCCCTAAAGGCCAGCAAGATGCACAATGCACAGCAATATATTTCAGACAAGGTTCTTTGGGTAAATGTAATATCTTTTATTAGACCAATTAAATAGCTGGAAAAATTGTTATTTGCAAGCTTTTGGGCACAAACATCTTTCTTCAGGCATAGAGAGAGCCTGTTGGTAAATTGTGTCCTCTCCTGGGTAGAATACAATATACAAAATGCAGGTCCATGAAAATGCAAATGCATGGCATGCAATTCATCAGCAGACTCTCTCCATGCCTGAAGAAAGGTGTTTGTGCCCAAAAGCTTGCAAAGAACAATTTTTTTCCAACTATTTTATTGGTCTAATAAAAGATATCACATCTAGCCAAAGAATCTTGCCTGCCTATTTCATTGGACCAACATGACTACAATCAACAGCAATATACTGGCCATGCTACATGCTTGTGACATCATCACTAGTGGGCAGGAGCAGACCCAGAGGACATGCACCAGCATGGTCACACCCTGCTTTAGCTGTGCACTGCCTGAACAATGAGCTCTCGCTGCTCACCAGCATGTCACCTGCTGCAGTTCCACATGTGCTGGGAGCTCTGGGAGCTTACCAGCTGGTGTGCTTGGAGTCCCTGCTTTCAAGCAGCTCCAGAGCCACAGCAACAATGCTCAGCCCCTGATTTCATGGAATGCAGGGACTGCACACCACTGCAGCTCATCCCCTCCTTTCCCCTACTGATGAAATGGGAGAGGAAGGTGGGAAGGGGAGAAAGAGAAGGAGGAATGGAAAGAACACATAGCAGAGCTGAAAGCAGGGGCTTCAGCAATGTAATGTAATCTTTGAAAGAGAAAAGACACCTCTTTAGAATGTGCCCCAAATTATTCACTTAGCCCATAAGAAGGGAAGGGTCAAGCAGAGAAGCGGTAGAAGAACCAGAATACAGGGAGGCCAAACCTCAAAAGACCAAGCCAGGAACATCTAGTCAAAATTCCCCAGGAGATCTTCTACAAGAAAGGGACTGTGAAAAAGGGTTACCAGAAGAAGAGGAGGAGGAGGAAGCAAAGGATGAAAGAGAAAAAAGGGCAGGGGAGGAAGAATCAAGGGAAAAAGAAGGGGAGACAGAATATGGCACTCCCTCCAGGACTTCATACAGGGTACACAAAGGAAAGCAGAAGGAAGGAAAGAGAAACCAAAGCAAACCAAAAAGGTAAAAACATCACAGTGGGCACGTCTACATGAGATGCTATACTCCGCCCTAGACCAATTTACTGTACAGTAAGCATCCTATCTACATGTGCATATGCTTACTGCACAGTAAACTGGTCTATTCTGCAGTTCATTTCCCACCTGCAAATGCAAGTAGCAAATTAACTGCAGAGTAGTTACTGTGCAGTAACACACATGTAGATTCCAACCAGGAGCAAACTGATCAGCCCTGAGACCAGGGGACCGCTCAGGCTAGCCCCAGGGCCACAGGGCCACAGGGCTTGGGAGCTTCTCCTGTCCCAGGCCTTTAAAACGCAGCAGGGACTCCAGTGGCCCCTGGCCAGCCGCAGCAGCCTGCTCAGACCTTGATGCTGGTCCCCAGCACAGCCCCCTTGCCTGCCTGCCTGTCCCATGCTGTGCTGCTGCACTGGGCACTGCAGGCACCTGCCCAGGCCTGGCAGTACCCAGACTGTCATATAGAGGCCCTACGGGCTGCTGAGGGAGCCATGCTGGAATCATCCCCCAACACCACACACTGCCTCCTGGGGCTGGAACTGGTCCCAAGAGGAGACTCACTGTGGGGCGAGGCAAAGGTCCTCAGTTAATTCACCCCCAGCAAGCGCACATGTATGAGGCCGAGTGCAGGAGTGCAGGCACAACTAGTTGGCGCACCAGTGATGCAAAAAGATCAAGGCCTTGCAGGCACAGTGGGTCACTGTCACCAACCACAACTGACAGTTGGCGGCTGCTCACAGGTCATTGCCATTTATGCAGCAGCTCAATCACATCCTCATGCCCCAAAACCCCAGCTGAAGCCGCGCTGTGTACTCCAGCAAGGGCGGCCTGCCTAAGCCTCCACTGTGGCCTGGCAGTGGCGACAATGTGTTAGTGGGGGAGGGCTCCTTGGGGTACCAGGCGCTCATCCTGCCATGGCCTCTGCCCCCAGCATCATTCAGCAGTCCCATCTGGCAACCAGCAAAGCCCAGAACCATGGGAAACACTCATAGCAGAATATAGGCATAGCTGCTTCTAGATCATCTCTGGCCAATGCTTATCCAACTTCTTCCTGAATATTTCCAGTGATGGAGAGTCCATGGCTTCTCCAGACAGCCTGTTCTACGGACTGTTCCTCATGTCAGGCACAGCTGGTGAACTCAGACTGGTGGCGCAGGTGGAGCATCACATGGAAGGAGGGTCAGCCTGCCCACCTATCTCTATGGGGCAGTCCACCCAGTCTCTCCTGCCACAGCTTTGCTGATACATTGTACTGGTGGAAAATGCGGGAGACTGCCCATTACTGGCCCCAATGCCAGGGGGTGCCATCTGCAGCTCCAAACCTCCCCTACACTGCAGCCCATGCCTCACAGATAGCATCCAAATTCTTAACTTCTTCGGCCCCACATTGGGCCCCATAACACCATAGCCTGGACCTCAACTAGACCCCTTCCCATCAGGCACCCTACTCCACCCTCAT